CAGGTGGCTGCAGGAATGAAGGACGACCCTCCGTACGACGAGTACCGATTCTTTGCGAACGTGACATGTCGTCCGAATTACGGCGGAGGACTSGGTGCTAAAATACCCYATTATGGCGGTACAGTGAAGGTGTCACCGATCAACATGSAAACAATAGAATCGAGTTAGTTTAGTTTAGCTTTCYGGGTGCTCTCAATGTATTGAACATCAATAAAATTGTTAAAAACATATTGCTTCTTTCTTGTGAATTAAAGAAGAGTGAAAATTGTTGCCAAAATCATCCATTTTTCAAAATTTTCTAGGGTAGCATTCCCTGGAACCTCTTGGTTCTTCCCMACTCAATGGCGTTCAATGGATACGAGACTTCATGGCCCCACCTTTYATAAATTGCTTGATCTGTCCCTGAACTACAYGCTWGTGGGAGTTGTAAATGTCGAGTACAAATGAGTCAAACACATGKGACACAGTTTTCTTTGAGTAAATACAGTTTTAATTTCCTTGCAACTATTTACAAGAATAGCTATCCATAACATAATCTTACAGCATTAAAAAATACATGATCAAGTATTACAAGAAAAGGAACATTACAGAACCATATACAATTTATTTTTGAAGATTTTCTTTAAATTTTTTACAGAACAAACATCTGTACCATTTACAAGAAAGTTGATTTTTTTTCCAACATGTTAAATATAAAAACATATTTTAGAAACGACATGTTAACAGTATTTAGTACGATCCAGAGTGAAAGGTATGATAAAAGCATTGAAATTACTTTTTTTGTCGTGAAATCTGTATTTCCCTCCCCCCACCCCCTTAAAATTTAAATTCCCTCCCTAATGCTGATAGTGACTTCTGGTTTTCTGCAAAGGAAAAAAAATGGCAACAATTAGTAATGCAACTGTACATTTATATTCATATCATTTAACTATAAGACATTATAAGACTAAAATACACAGAGAACTTGTGTTATTTCGTACAAAAAAATATATTACTAGTTTCAGAATGACAATATATCATTCTCTTGTGACAGCACAGAACATCTGCCCAAGCAGAAAGTGACTGATATATGAACTTACTTATTATTTCTTATTTTGTACAGGTAGATATAGCTTGAATTCTGCTGGCAATTCGTCTTCGGAGTAAAGTCTGTCGGAGAAGTACACTCTACGGATACAACAGTTTGCGTGGATCTATAAAAATAAACAAAACAATCTTGTTAGCACAAGCACTAGTGTTTAGTCTCTAGAATTTTCTTTAAACAAAACATTTTTGTCAACATGTGCACTAGCATGCAGTATCTAGAATGTTCTCTTATAATACTTCAACGAAGCAATTCAAAATAGAAATTAAGTATAAACTCGTGAATAATAATAAATTGAATAAAGAAAAATTGGAATGATAGATTAAAGCACTTGTATACATTCAAAAGTGTAAAATTCTACTGCATCTTTGGTACATCTAACCAAAAATGACCAATATACAGTCTGTCATTATGGCGGTAAACTAACAAAAAAGCCAAAACTCTTTAGACCTTAGAATTGAAATCTCAAACAATTATTTTAAGTGAGCATTTTTTCAAACTAAGTACTGAAATAGCTGTTCAGCATTAAGGACAAAGAAAATCTATCACCAACAGGATTAAACATTTGTAAAAAGGATTAGAAGTGAACAAAAGGTTGCCAGTGTTTACACCACTTCTGTCATGACTACTACACTTACCTGAACTCTTAATGTCTCGATGTAGTTTGTACCATATGCTCTTCGTGTGAAATCCGAGAGATTGAACTACATTGCAAGAAAACAAATTGTTAGCCCACCACAATCGTCATTGATTATTTGATAATTTGGCGCTCAACTTGAAAAAGCAATTAAGTTTAGGATTAACTAAAAATGGTTCCTCGGTAGGATTTTTTTCGAAAAAAAAAGTAAAATGTTTTACATTGTAAAAGAATGTAAAGAGTAAATGCTGAGGTATTTATGTAAAGAAATGATACCAGTCTTTAACTGTTTGAGGAAGGAAGTTCATTGAATTCTTGAATTGTAACTAACAACATTTGAGTCTAACACGATGCGATTGAAATTGATAGGCCGGTTTATTAGATTCAATTTGACATGATATTTTCGAAAAATCTTAAAATTCTCACCTGAATTTGGTTCCAACCGTCGTCTAGTCTCATTGGCATCGTACAAATAAATGGTTTTACTCTTGTAGTTGACTGATAGTTCGACGCTCTGAATCTTCGCCTTACGTTTTTGTCGTCTAGGACCTACAAGTGTCAACAAACCCTTAGCTTCCTGTCAACCCGAGTTAAGTCCAGGACAACCAACAAAAAAAGCAATAAAATGACGACTTAAACTACATAAAATAATATTTCTACCATGCTCAACTTACCGTTACTTCGAAGGTGAAATATTTTTTCATGTTTTTGATGATCATGACGAGAAAAGGAAGTTTGATTCCCAAAGTTTTCTTCGGATCGGTTGGGCATGTTATAAACGTTGTACTACGGAAAGAAAGTACCTATGCGGTTAATTAATTGTAAAGGATACCGTTAAGGGGCATTTATAAAAGATTTGCAGAAATCTAATACAAAATTCTTAGCTTGAAGTTCATTCATCAATGAAATCGTAAACTCAATCCGTATGTTTGCGAGTTCAATTCAATTTTAAACGATCTTTACCTAACGTTTGTCCCAGAGATTTCTAAAACCAAAGACTGGATATCATCGTCTGTTATTCTTTTGATGTGACCATTTCTAACCTGGAAAATAAACGTAAAATATTAGCTATCGTTACTACAAAGTCCACTTACAACTTTGTTCAGCATGCTTCACTTCCACCTCACCTTCTTATCCCAAATTTGAAGCGGTTTGCTGCCGATACTATATAATATTGACAAAAAACCCGACTGATAAGTGTTCTTAAACATCTTACAGTTGTATTTAAAAGCTTTTTCCCTGTAAAAAGAGTGTAGGGATGTTTTAAGGACAGATCTCCCTGCCTTGTTGTGTGCGAAGTGAACAAAGATAACGATGTGTCGCTAGGCGCCGATCTCGTGTTGATCATGCGCGATTGTTTGTTACCTTGCCAACCAAGTATACACAACCTCGATATGATGAAAAGACGCTAACACAGGATACCCAAATCACATCAGAAACATTCATTTTTATTTTAAGAAATATTAGGACTAAAAGTTAAATCTTTATTTATTTATTTCAAACTGCAAAAAATTTTGAAATAATGATAAAATAGAAGAGAAACGAAAATGTCGAGTGGAACTTTTCGGTCAAAAGATACACAGGAAACCCAAAATCATCTTTGTATAGTTACTAGAGTTTCACTTCGATAAAATATAGCTGATAACAGGTTAAATGTTTTGATCTGAATTGATTCCTACAAACACTGTTTTTTTTACGAAGAAAAGCTTACACTTTTCGAAATAGTATAATTGGGCTTCCTGTGGTAGGTCCAAAGCAGATTTACGCGATGGACGAATGATCAAGATATGATAATCGAGAAACTACTTTTCCGTTTACGTTTCGCTAGTAAGATTCCTAACACTTCCGCATTAATGGCATCATCAGACATTGGCGCTGATTTCAAGAAGATTCTCTCTCAAAGTTCGAATGTACTTTTCTTAACCGGTGCAGGGGTGAGCGCCGAAAGTGGTATTCCAACTTTCCGAGGTGCAGGCGGTCTTTGGAGAACATACGATGCTACAAAGCTAGCAACTCCTGAAGCTTTCAGAGACAATCCTTCATTAGTTTGGGAATTCTACCACTACAGACGCGAGTTAGTTTTGTCAAAGAAACCAAATCCAGCACATGTTGCCATTGCACAGTTTCAGAAGAGGATGAGAGGGTCTGGTAAACAGGCTTGGGTGATTACTCAAAATATCGATGGATTTCACCAAGCTGCTGGGACCCAAGATGTCGTAGAGCTTCATGGTACTGTTAGTTTGTTTCTAGTCTCCATCACAGCCCCCTGCTTTGATTGGTCCTCCTGGGTCCATCCTCCTGATGGTCCCCCTGAGATTTTAGTTTGTTTCATATGATAACTCATGTTGCAGGTTCCTTGTTTCATACCAGATGTACACAATGTGGCGATGCTAAAGAAAACAAGAACAGCCCTATAGTGCCAGCTTTACTCAATAAAGGGTAAATGTAACCTAAAACTTATGTCTTATTTGAAGAATAATAATTACCAAGTCATTGGTTCTCCGATTCATCCTTTCACTTCGTTCATTCATTCATTTCTCAGACAATCATTCTTTTCAACAAACACATCCTTTTCAATCTGATGTTTTTCAAATTTTTCTTTCACTTTCTCCTTTTCCTCGATCTTTCATTTTCCCTCATGTTTCTTGTATTTTTGTTCCTTTTTTTTCACTTTTTATCTATCCAATTCGATTCAACCTTATTTCCTTAATGCTTTCTAATTAACAAATCTTTTCCATATGGTTAATTATACTGACATGATGTTATGTTATATTCAGTGCTCCTGATCCTAGTGCTCAAGATGCAAAAATCCCTGAATCGAAACTGCCAAGGTACTTATTTCCAACTAATCAATGCATATTTCATCTATAATTAAACAACAGTTATTCAATGGAACTCTTGATAAAGCTACATTAAACCTCTGAATAAGCCATTTTTTAGTATCTGATAATGAACTTGTGTAGTGTACTCTAAAGTTTTTGTGTTTTCAGGCATCAAAGCAGATCCTAGTCCATATTTTGCACATTAAAAAAGTGCTTGTGAGCTTAATGGTAGCAGCACTTATAATCATAAAAATCGACTCCAATATTTTATTATAGTATTAATAATAATTATTGATTATTATTTTATTATTGATTAGTAATAATTCAATTAATGATGAATCGATTATTAATTTAATTAATAAAAATTAATAATGAAACGATAGTAGACTAACAAATGTTATGAAATGTGCTTTAAGGCAGTGTTTTTCACTGCAATATTGTTGTTGTTTTTTAAATTCTGCATAGGTATTTTTTAGCTGTTTATTAGTTGCATCATAGTTAATAACTATGGTTGCATAACTATTGTTATTCTCCAAACTTAAACAGCACAATCAATAAACTCTGTAGTTTATTAGGTGCTCTAAGCCAGATTGCAATGGCCTGGTTCGTCCTCATGTTGTATGGTTTGGCGAAAGCCTTCCTTTTGATGCACTGATGAAATCAAAAGAGATCATGGATTCTTGTGATCTTTGCATTGTTGTAAGTAGGATGTATAGTGTGTCAGGGGGGGGGAGGGAGGGGGAATGGCTGCGTAGACTTCCCTTCTCCAAAGTCCCTTCCCCATACTAAACAGCTGCATTGAGAAAAGGCTGCAACTGCCTACCCCTCCCTTCKGCAACCCTTCCCCCCCCMAAAAAAAAAACAAACCTGAGACCCTTTTCAAAGACTAAATGTTAGTTGTTACCCTGATATAGGTTGGCACTTCATCACAAGTATATCCTGCCGCAATGTTTGCACCAAATCTTGCTCAAAGAGGTGTACCAGTAGCAGAGTTCAATCTGGAGAAGACTGACAAGACCGACTGTTTTAGGTACCAATAATTATTAATCATTAATAATTATTATTGGATTGATTTTTTTCCATTATGTTCTAATGGTAGTTACCCAACTTTGCATTCTTGTCTGTCAACCAATGCAGTAATTGGGTCCCAATATTTATTCATTTATTTCCCATCCATTCATATTTTGTTCATATCCAGAACCATCTTTTTTCTATATTTTTTTACTATCAACTAATACGATTTATTCAGTTATTTGAAATTTTCCATCCATCCACTTTTTCTTCATACATTCATTGTTGGATAAGATTATTCAGTGCATGAGTAGTGATCCAGATAATATATGCACTTATTCTTTACTTAGGTACCATTTCCATGGAAAAGCTGGAGAAACACTCCCACCTCTTTTAGAGGCTGAGTAAATTATACAAAAACTACAGATAAAGTCAGTTAGGTGAGATGATGTACTATATATACTTCATTCTCTTCAAACATACTGGCAGACTACATCTTTAAATTTAGCCTGCAAAGCTGGTTTTAATAGCTTAGTCACAGAGAAGAGTGACGGCAAGTAGTTTAGTAAGCAACCATTCATCGTCAAGTGGAAATGGCAATAACAGCTTATTTGCATGCAGTTAAATTATTATAAATATATGCAAATTAATTATGCAAATGCCCAAGTCAGATCAATTATGTTATGATTATCAGGCGCGTAGCGTCCTTTACGCATATACGCACGTGCGTACCAGTGGCAAGGAAATTATATAACAATTTTCGGGATTCTTTTTTAATAATTTTCTTTGCTTGCTTTCTCCAACCAAGGCTTCGTTATCAAAAAGAACCTCAAAACGATGGAAATCGCATTTCCAAGAGTTTTATTTCAAAATTTCCTGGGGAGGACCCCTACGGTGGTCGTTAGTCCCCAAATCCATAATATGTGTCGCGCTCCATGACATGTGCGTACTAGACAAAAAGTCCACGCTACGCGCCTGATTATGAGTACCCCCTCCCCCCCCTCCTAAAAAATATGACGCAATACTTACGGGTAATTAGTTCAAGGTAATGATTATAAAAATTCTTACACCAAAGGAAAGGACGGAGGAAAATCAGATTGCTACATTGTATTTTGTATAAGCTAGAATACAACAAATAATTAAAACAATTTTCAACCTCCGAGATAAGATTGGATTACCTTTGGTTACGATAAGGGTTGTTGGATGGGTGGAAATGAAAAACGCTACACAACGCACCTCATGGGCCCTCATGTAACATGTAAAAAATGGTGTTGATTGTTTCTTTTTTTATTCATATTTGTAATATGAACTTTTCTGAAGTAATGTAACTGGATTAATGTAGAAGTTTATCGGTCCGGAAATTCCTCATTTTGTATCAAAGTGTTCGCTAAACGACCGCGTGTCATTGACGTGCGAAAAGTTATCTCAGTTCATCGGTCCTTACGAAGTCAAAACAAAGTCAAACCACGTAAAGGGGTAAAATAAACGATTATTTTTTAGCTTAATCAACATTAACATCCTCAAAAGATGCTGCGTTTTTGGTTCTAAGAAGCGGCGCATTTTGACGTTGGGCGTCGATAGTGGGCAGCCCGACGGAATGTATTATATGCAGTGGATTAAAATATTTGCAGGTAAAACGCTAACGCAGGCTTCTTTGGTGGTCTGTACTTCATCCAAAAAGATGTTAAACTTCCTTAAACTTTTTAATTTGATTTATACAACAGTTTTGGCATTGACTTTAAAAAATCCTTTTGACCAACATAGAAGAACGGCCATCGTTTGTAGCAAAGTTATTTTTATTGCAGGAAATAGCTGGTATAGCTATCTTATAAAGAGCACTTTATACAATAAAGAGATTTTGACCTGTTTCCAATTATCCCCAAGTTCATCAGTTTAGAAACGATATATCGTGTCGGTAATGCGACCTGGAGGGTTAAACACCGCATCAATTTTCCGTTAGCTTTCCAGCTCTAATTGAATATGGGCAGATTACGAGATAAAATCTGCTCTCAATGGGGTGAACTGAGTGGAAGTTTTTGTGCAAGCCTTTGCTTGCCTTTAATCGCGGGAATGATTGGTTGGAAAATAGATTAATGAGGGCCATGATGCCGTAGCCCCACCCCATTTCGCTACAAGTCTTGACAGGAAAGATAGGTACGAAGTCAAAAGACAAGAAAGCTTAAGGTTCAACCGCGTGAAAACGTTAATCAAAATGGCTGTGAAAGTGAAGACACTGTACTTAACAATAGTCTTGGTGGCCTTGCTTACCGAGATGGTAAATTGTCAGAAGGGGCCTTCAACATCGTCAAGCGACGCAAAGAAGACAAAAATGGTAGGTATCTCGCTGTATATCATCTTGCTCGGTTTGTTTCGACATACATTGCTATCTAGTCCAAAGGACGCCAACTTGTACATTAAAGCTTTTCATAGTAATCCAGTAGCGGCAAAAATGTACAATTTACGTAACTAGTAGTTTCACTATTACCTACTAGTAGAATCCGCATATGTCGCATAAAAAAAAAATTGTGAATATAAGAGAAAGGCCACATAACGGAGACATTAAAGACGTCAATGCCAATATCGAGACGTCATCTTTATTCCTTCAATAAGGTTACAGCATTACATGTAAATATCGCATTGGAAATAACATGTTGAATTGTGAACGACATTTTCAATATCACATCACAAATTTAGTGTGGTTAATTGGATTTTTTTAATTGGATTTTTTTGTTTCAGGATCAGTCATGTGACAAGTGCACATGTATCCCCGGCATACCGGGTACTCACGGCATACCTGGTACCCCCGGAACAGCCGGACGTCCGGGAGACGATGGACAAAATGGAGTTAAAGGTGAACCAGGCCCAAGCGGACCAGCAGGACCGCGTGGTTTTAAGGGTAATTCGGGTTTTCCTGGTAAGACAGGCTCTCCAGGAAAACCTGGCAAACCTGGCTTTCCAGGTAAGACTGGTCCAAGAGGTAAACCGGGTTTTCCTGGTCCGAGTGGTAAGCCTTGTCCAAAGGGTGCACATGATCAATGGCGATATCAAGCTCAGAAGGGTGATAAGGGAGTGAAAGGCAGTAAAGGCAACAAGGGAGAGGCATTGTACTTTAAAGCAATGAAAGGCGAGAAAGGAGAGCCAGGGAATGATGTCTCTTCATTCTTAAACTGGCACCATTGCTTGTGGAACAGAGATGATCGTATTTCAACAAGCAAAAAAGGCACTGTTGTTCAGGTAAAACGTGTCAAAATATCATGTCAAAAGTACAGAACCCATCTTAGTCTCTTAACGGCAACATTTTGATCTTTATAAAGGAATGTAATTATGGAAAAAGGCACCACAACACTGCCCTCAAGGTGTCATTCCATGGCAACCTGGGAGGAACTACCTGTAAGAGATGGTATTTCAAGGTCAATGACCAGGAATGCTCTGGTTCTCCTATTGAGGCTTTGATTTACCCACCACCTAACAACCACCCCAAAACCAACCACCATTTGATCCAGGGTTTCTGCCCAAACGTACCAGCAGGTGCTACATCTGTTGCACTGTGGGTTGGTGACTGCCCGGGAGTGGTCGGACGCAGGAACAGTACAGCATATTGTGGAAATAACTCTTCCTCTACCATCATGATTGAAGAAGGACCAATGACATTTTATTAACCATGAACGTGTCATGTGACCTCACTAACCTATCAGAACACTGCATTGCATTAACATTGAAGATTGTAGTTGAGTTGGTACATCATTGAAAAGCAGTTGTCTCCCTAGCAACACAGCATTATCAGTGTGGCTATATAACGGCACTGGAGGAGATTGCTAAAGGCATCAACAGCGTAAAATAGATTGTTCTTTAACTATAAATGTGACTGAGACACATTAATCTTTCTGGAGGTTAATGTCCTTGTCCATTACCCTAATATATGAATATCTAATGCATCCCATCATTAAAGGGACACTGTCAATGGATGACATGCGCGGTAACAGTCTCACCTCTAAYGRAYTTTGAAAGTATTMCCTTCGAGGTAAATCATTTTGTGGTGCTTTTGACACACTTTGGAATATTCTAGATCTGTTTACGTTTACGAGCTGATTTATGTCGCGCCAACTTGAAGTCATAAAATAAACTTGAAAACACTAGCCTAGTGTTTTTAAGTTTACTCGCGCATGCGTGCCATTGACAGTGTCCCTTTAAGTAGTAAATGTTTTTGAATTCGCATACTGCTGTCAGGGCTGGTTATTAAGCTGATAGTGTAGTCATGTCAATAAATTAAGTAAATGAGGTGCATGTAGTGCATGGAAACATATTTTATATCTTACCATTTGATAAACCACATACACATATATCAGTAGAAAATAAAGTTTAATACACCCAAAAGTATATTTATTGATAGTTCACATTCTATATCAGAGTCTAGTATTTACAATTTATTGCTATTTGTCTTTATAATACAATCACATGCAATACAGTAACTAAGCTATCTCTTGGGCCACCATCCAGTTTGTTTGGTCATCATCAGTGGCTGCAATTCTTAGCTTGTTCCATGTCTTCTTGTTTGTCTGTAGTGCCATCTGTAAGCAATCAAGTAATACAAAAATTAACACAAAATTGAAAAAGATAGGTTTGCGTTTAATCAAGAAAAGTTTTCTCTCTTTACTCTGATGAAGGATTAGCGTCGAAACATCAGTAAGTTGTTTCACCCTTTTTTTACACAACTGTTTCTTTAGAAAAACCAATGCAGCTCATACTAGTTTACCGCTAGTTTCCACCATTATGTTAATCAACACTGTTTTGTAGTAATTAGTAATTTTTTTTCATGGATAATGTGCATCCACTCTAGCTATTCACATCTTACCCTGGCAATTTCCACTTTTCTTTCCCACATTTTAACTACTTTATTCAGTTCGTAAAGTTTTGCTCTCTCTTCGACATATTCCATCACCTAGAAAGAGTTGAAAAGTATTTTAGTAAATGGGCAGTTTAAACAAATTTATCATGGCCTATAACAAACTATGTGAGTGTGAGAATCTGAATCAGTCTCCAGCTTTCTATTAGAAAGACCGTACTACTTACTTCGGGAACTTTATAATCTGCAAGCTGTTGCTTTAACCTTGTATTTAATTTATCAGCCGCTTTTCTATCCTGTATAAAAATAAGCAGTGTTGTGAGAAGTACATAAAACAGATTTCAGGTGCATGAAAACTATAACAAAAAAGCTACAAACTTGCAGCCACTAAGAGCATAAGATACACACCTTATCAACCATTTGATTTTCAGTTTCAATTCTACACAGTAAATCATTTCTTTGAGTGATCTCTGTCTTGAGTTGATCAGATTCCATTGTCAAGGTATGTAGTTTTTTCTATTCAAAGAATAGTCAAAATTAAAATCATCCCCTTCAAGTTAAACATCATAAAATACACTGCAATGTACCTTATATGTATTTAAAATTTGTTGTACATTTGTTGTCATGAGTTTCAGTCTCAAAAGGTCTTGATTCTTTTCATCAATTTTCTCTAGATATTGCTGGTTTTCAATTTTTAGTTGATTAAAGTCCACCTCATGTAGGACTTCGCCCATTTCTTCTTTCTGTTTTAATTGCATGTGAAGTTTGCGTTTCTGGACTTTCAATGTTGAGTTTTTTAGTCGGAGTTTTTCAATAAGAGTGTCCTGCACACACAAAATAAATCAACTTTAGTGATAAGGTCAATTCAATATGATTGAAAGAGTTCTTGTAAGGAGGCAAAAAACAGTTAAAATACAATCTTGCTAAAACTTACACGAGATCTGAGTTTATCTTCAAAATATCTTGTAACTCTCTCGGCAATAACTTTGTTAGTTCTCTGCAATACCAAACAGTATAAAACAATATTATTTATTGCATATCTAGTTGCAAAAAGCCTGCATGCATTCCAATAGTTCTAAGAGCTGAATGAAACTGTCAGTACATCTCTTTGAATCCTGGAACCACTCAGAAACCAACAGTTTATTAACAGTTTGAAATGTTTAACAATAATAACACACTTACCTGATTTACAGCACCTTTCATAATATCCCTTTCAAACTCATACGATGCTTTTTTCATTTCTGCATTCCTAATTTCTGCCTCTTCCATTATTGCCTAAAAAGAAAGACAGAAGAACATCCACTTAGCATTGAGAACAACACTATAAACAGTCCATTAGTTCTATTATATAGACTTACTTTGTAATTGTCTAGGATTTTCTCTGACTCATCCTTCAACTTCTGGATATCATCTCTGAGTTCCTCCAGTTCTCTTTGTGCTATGTCACATTTTTGTTCTGCGGTTAACTTCAGGTGTCTATTGATAAGTAAAATTACATTTCTGTCACATCAAATGATGATGAAGATGATATAAGAAACAACAAATCAATCGCATTGTTACAACATTGAATTTGATTGATATACAACATTGGTGTACATGATGTACATGGATTTTGATAAAAGTTTTTATTTTTCCTCAATCATACCTATCGAGTGATGGACCTCTAGATCTTGATCGCTTTTTCAAACCTCGATGAGACGTTTCTATGGTTTGTTGCACAACAGATGGGGCTGAAAAAATAAGTTTACAAACATTTCAGCTGTTTCTCGATTTTATGAGAAAACGAAAACTGTGTCTAAAGAATTCATCGTCGTCAATACCTGCAGGCTGAATTCCTATGTCCTTTGGGTCAACTCTTTTAAGGAACTTTTCAAACATCGAAGTTTCATTTCTAAGTACTTCATTCGCATGTCTAAAATTTATAAAATGAAAGAAGACAACATTGAAATTTCAAGACGTCCAAGACACTTGCTACTTTTAAGAATTTCTTCACAAAATTAACATTGAAAATAGCTCAGACTCTTACATTGTCTCTTGAACTAAATTATAAAGGTCTTCGTCGGGTAATTCTGTCAACGGATCTTCCTCTTGATCGAGAGAACTACTCACTTCTACATCAGAGGCCGCCATGTTTTTCTTGTATTACGATGTGTTCTATGTTTCTATGGTAACCTTATGATAACGAGGCTCGAGTTCGAACGCTCGGCGGTACCTGGAATCGAGGCTCGACGTCGAAGAACGTTGTTTGACAGCCATCTTTGATTCTTTACGAAGTTTGGTAATTTTTAATCTTGCTGCATCTTGCTCATCCTTGGTGCAGCCATGAAGCTTGTCAGGTAGGTGTTGAGAAAATTTATTCAAGATTTGCTTTGGGATGTTATTTTTTGGATTGGTGGCGTGAGGTTTTTGTTTTGTAGCCTGTTTGTTGAAGTAGTGTTGTTCCTATCTATGCAGGTTCTTAATGAAACTGAGCCACGAGACAGTCACGATTGAGCTGAAGAACGGAACAGTTGTACATGGAACTATAACAGGTAAGAAATATTGAATACATCGTGACTGGAGGAGGATATAATCAAAAATATCATTCATAAAGTAGTTCAAACTTCTGGAGGAAACGTCTAGCATGAATGGGCGATTTCATCTCGCAAAATGCTGTATTTTGACGATAGTTGAAGCAACAGAATGTTCAAGATGAAATATTTTCACAGCTGTCTATATTCCACTGTGTATTAAAATAAAAGTTACATCCGCTGATTTGCTTAAGTCTATGCATATATCTTAGTTCAGGGAAATTGCTGGCCAACTTTTAATTTTTCATGAGAAAACTGACACTTGTGGCTCTGCCTTCTGATATATTAAAACACAGTGGAAGATGAGGGATAACCATGATTCACAGGGACACACAGTCTAAATGTGATCATGTTTCTGTACTTGCTTCTCTTGTGATAAATAAAAACAACAATAACAAAATATTATTTTTCTTGCAGGAGTTGATATGAGTATGAACACACATCTAAAAGCTGTTAAAATGACAGTGAAAAACAGAGAACCCATGCAACTAGAATCTCTCAGCATAAGAGGAAATAATATTCGATATTTTATACTTCCTGAAAGCCTGCCCCTAGACACTCTACTAGTTGATGACGCCCCTAAGGCAAAAGCAAAGAAAAAGGAAACAGGTACAGTTTTAAAACATTGCCATTGCATTTACAGCAGCTCTTGCAATATGAGAATTGGTTGTCATCTTATACTTATCAGCTATAAAGGGTGGCAGTGCAATTGTGACATAATTATCAAACTTATTGTTTTAGTTGCTCTTGGACGTGGTCGAGCAAGAGGAAGAGGGCGAGCAAGAGGCCGACCATTAGGTCGTGGTGGACCTGAACGCAGTGGAAGAAGATAGAAAATCCAAATTCGCTATGGTCTTTTCTAAAAGATAGATTGGTAAAGGAGGAAAAGGACAGAGTTGGTTTTCAATAAACACATTTTACAAAGTCCAGAAACCATCTATTTATAACATACAGTCGATCCGAATAATGTTGTTCAGTTGTAAAGACATAAAGGCAACAACAAAGTTGTTTGAATGGATATCATATATTTGTATGTTTTGCAATATTAATCAACAAGAAGTTCAAAAACTTTGTAATGTCAATAACATACAACTTACAAGCTGGAATTGAAAAAAAAAAAACTTATGCAAATGGATTTGTTGTTGTCTTAATGTCTTTACATTGAACAATGTTAATTGGATTGACTGTATAAACCATTATAGGCAGACATGTTACCAAACAAAGACTCTTCATCACTTTGTAAATAATGTAATGTGAATATTTTGAATTAAAATAATCGTATTGTAGTGATGCTTATATTTGATTGATTCAAAAAAGGCTATTCTCTCATTTTCTGTATTGCTTAACCCTTGTTCCAAAGGCTGGACTTAACTATATCACTTCACTGTTGTTACTGGTACAAAGCTGTCACTGTTTCTTTCATGTCATCCTTATGTATGTACGTGTAAACAGCAGTAGCAGCAAAGAGTGTAAATCTAGTCTTTGGTAAGCTTTTTTTTTCCATTAAAAAGGGAATAGTCTTCTTCATGGTTCACTCTGCCATATTGAAAGCTAGCTGGCTAGCCTGAGTATCAGGCTCTCTCAAAGGGGTTTGGGGTGGAGCTCTGCCCCAAACCCCTTCGAGAGAGCCTGATACTCGGGCTACTAGCTGGCCTTTGCATTGAAGCGAGACGATTGTTGAGCATGCAATGATAGAAACCTTTCACATCTACAGACAATTATTCACAGGTATCTATCATTGCAAGCTCAATGGTTGCCTCGCTTCGATGTAAAGACACAGCTACCTTTCAAGATGGCGCAGGGAACCGTGAAGGAGACTATTGGGAATGGCTGAGTCCTCTACAGATGACCATGTTGCTTGTTGCACGTAAAAATTGTGCATGACTAAAACTTAAAGGGATTATTGTAAACGGATGATATAGAAAACTTTTCACTGGAAAACTCAGATATTTCAGAGAGATTTGACTTTCTTTGGTCGAGTTGGTCGGGTACTGGGTACGAGCTAACATCGTCACCATGGAAGAAGATGTCTCGTGTGTTTATCCGGTACGAATACAATTCTTTTACAATATTTTCGTATTAAGGCATTCTTTTACTTAGCTAGTAACTTGCATAAATGTGCATTCATTTATTGTATTCAAATTTTTTGCGAGTTCTGTAATGATGAATTAATGCACAGGTCAATCAGCCGTCGTCAAAACGATTTGCTTTAATATGCACAAGCCTTTTGCGTAAGACTTCCATCTAGCTAAAACTCTCTTAAATAACATTAGGATAATATCCATAAAACAAATTATCGATGTTTCATTATCGTGCATTCAATTTGATATTTGAGATTTTGTTATGTCACGCCTGGCTAACAAGATATTAGGAAAAGGCGGTCTGTTGTCCTGTTACAAAACAACTGCAAAACATTCACGTGGAGAAGTGAAAATTGCATGTGATACCAGACTCTAAGATTTCTAGGTGCAATCGATTAACGACGAAACAGAAGCGCTGTTAACACTTACGTAGTTGCATATCTCTACACCTTGAAGAAGGTCATCGCGTGTCACGCAACCATAGACAGTGTCACACAATCTGCGCACGATCCGTCTACAGAAGCTTCGAGTTTTCCTGGGAGGGAGGGAGAGCGGAAAACATCGTTTTGACAACAAATGACAGGAATAATAATATAAATAAATAAATATATAAAGGAATAATAACTAAAACAATTCATCTTAATCTAATACAATTCATGTTCACTCGTTTGTGATTGGCATATCTTGAACGTCAGCGTCCTACATTTTTTATATCATACTCAACCTCAACCAATAATAGTTTATTTTCACGTAGCTATCTAAACATTTTGGACTAATATCGATTGTTTTGTTTTCTTAAGGCACCGCTGAAAAGTTTGTCATTTGAGGCGACGACAACTCCACTACTCGCAACTGCTGGGCTGAGCCTTTTCCAAGCCGCCTGTATCCAAGGTGACGTCTTCACAGTTTCACTGCTTTTGGACTTTAGCCCAAGTCGTCTTGACAACGCAATAGCTTTAACGATATCGACTTGTCGCGATGCTCCCTTGTATGATGAACTGCTGCCTTTGACTTTGTCGAGTCTCGGAAACACAAGAAACCATGAACAAATATACAAACAGCTTAATAAAACTGACGACGAGTTTATTGGAAGATCTTTGATCCATATAGCAGCAAGCAGAGGAAGCTATGAAAATGTTCAAAGACTGCTTTCTCTTGGTATTAATTCCAACGAAGTCGATCCAGACACACGTGTCACGCCTCTCATGCTTGCGGCAAGTCGCAGTTCTCCTCGTTTTCTCGAGATTCTTATTGAGAAAGGAGCGTCAATTCAAGCCCAGGATCAAACTGATTCGTATGCTTTACACTACGCTGCTCTTCACGGCAAAACGAGAAATGTYAGATTTTTGATATTCAGCGGAGCCAACGTAAGTGATATCAATGGACGGCGCGAAACCCCTCTTCACCTCGCTGCAAAATATGGGCATACCAAAACAGTAGAATTATTGGTGCAAAGCGGAAGTGACGTCAATATCAAGACAGCAGGAGGAGACACTGCTCTCATGTTGGCTGTGATTGGTGGTTACAAGGAGACGGTGTCGTATTTAGTTAATCACGGGAGCTCTGTTCATATCCAGGGGGGTCTTGATTTCACTGCGCTCCACCATGCGTGTAAGGAAGGTCATGCCGACATTGCAACACTTCTTATCAAGAAAGGAAGCAACCTCGAGGCGACGACGTCAGGGAAAACACCGTTACATCTTGCAGCCACCTATAACCATTGTGAGATTGCTAAACTACTCTTCGTAAGTGGATGTGATATGGACGCGCATGACATGTTCGGGAGAACTGCTGTCCACTATGCCGCCCAACAGGGTAACATCGATATGATTAAGCTACTAGTCCGAAGAGGCGCAAATGCTCATGCTGAGGACTCAGAGGGACAGACACCATTATTCCAGGCAACAATATTTGACCAGATCGAGTCTGTGGATGCCTTGATTCTTCATGGTGCCTACGTCAATGTGCGCGACCATTATGAGCGGTCACCTCTTCATTATGCTGCACAGGAAGGCAATGCAAACATTGCTGGACTCCTCATTAGCAGAGGTGCTGTTATCGACGCTGTTGCTTTCAATGGCGATACGCCGTTACTTCTTGCTGTTGGCTATGGCAGCACTGATATTGTCGAACTTTTGCTCCGGCAGGGCGCGTGTGTGAACGCCCAAAACGCCGCTGGAGTTTCACCAATACACCTGGCTGCAGCTAGTAGGAGAACTCGCACGGCGCAACTGCTTATCTCGAGTGGCGCCAACTTGGAGTTACATTCCAGCGAAGGCGACACACCCCTGCACATAGCAAGTCGACAAGGCCTCAAAGAAATGGTGGTACTTCTTTTAGAAAAAGGAGCTAATGTAAATTCATTAGATTCGGGTGATAGAAGCCCTTTAGCAGTTGCAATAAATGAGTTAAGAGCTGATATCGCTGAACTGCTTTTGAGACACGATGCTGATGTTAATATCAAAGATGGCGAGGGTCGAACTCCACTTCATGCGGTGTATTCAAATCTTACTCATGTTCTTGTAGAAGAGAGGATTTCAAATCAGCTCGCAAATCTACTTCTCAGGTGTGCATTAGTTTTGTGGCTCTGAGAATGTGGGGTTCATAATATATTTTTCTGATATCAATCTCTCCGATCATCACCATCATTATCACCATTTATCACCACAAGCACCACCACCATCATTATCGCAGTCCTTCCACATGGTCCTTTGGTTCATACAACTGTTTTTTACACATCTATCCAACTTCATATCTGCTCTTTCATTAGTCTTTTTTCGACTGGGTGCATATATGACTTGCTCCTACTATGACCTATTGTGGCGTATATTTTATAGATTTGGTAGCGATGTGGCAGCCGAAGACATCAGGAAACAAACTCCTCTCCACTTAGCTTCAATATCAGGATCAGGTTCTTTGGTCCAACAGTTGCTTTCGTACGCAAGCGAACCGAATGCTGCGGACAAGGACGGCTTTACCCCCCTGATCTGTGCWCTTTTRTATTCTCGCCGTGCAGAACCTGTCGTCAAGACACTTATTCAGGGGGGTGCAGACGTTACTAAAGCAGATGTTTACGGGCGKACCGCTTTRCACTATGCAGCTGGATTGAACGGATCCAGAAGAGTCTGTGAGCTGTTGATACAGACGGAGAAAATTGACATCGAAGCAGCTGATAATGAGGGAAACACRGCTCTTCATCTCGCTGCTCTCTATCGCAGCACGCCCACGGCTGATTTGTTGGTCAAGAAGAAATGCAATGTTAATTCAAAAAATAATGAAGGTTAGTGTAGTGAATAGGATTAATAATGCTGAGCTGAGATCAGTCTYAAACAGATTATATTTCATTAATTTATGAAGTCAAACAAGGTATCAGTTCATTTATGTTAAAGTTGTAAGAAAGGCAGTCAAGAACGATCAAGGATGCTCTCGTCARAAATTTTCAAAAAGACCCCTAAAAGATCCCGGAAGTCTTGAAAAAAGGCGTGGCTGACTGATTTTTAACCCCTAAGATATTGCACAACAAATATTGTTAAATTATGAAAACGATCAGTTCCAATGATAAAAACTCAGAGGAAAATCAATATCGATGCAATCTTTCGTTCCATTGAATCCAGTAAAAAAAACATCGTTTCGTTTTTCGTTTCGTTTTCATCCCGTTATTCTGCACAGATCAACTCTTTGTTGTCTTTTTTTATTCTAGGCCAAAGCCCGCTACACTGTGCTGTGGCTGCCAAGTGYGTTTGTACGCATGGCTGTAGAAAGTGCGTTTGGAAGTACAACACAGTTGAGTTACTCGTGGAGGATGGAGCMTGTAAAGTTAACCTAACTGACAACGAGGGTAACACGCCTCTTCATATGGTAACAGCTTCGATAACTGATACATCTACAGCACGGTTACTCATTAGAAAAGGAATTAATGTGAATGCAGTCAATAAACAGGGAAAGACAGTGCTGCATCTTGTTTCTGCAATGAAGTGTGAGCGAAGCAGAGAAAGATTTACYAAATCGAGGTAAGCAAAGAAGCGGCGAAGTATATGTAATTCAGGGGTCGCATAGACAGAGGGCTTATCTATGAAATACTTATATTTCTCCATTCCATAAAGTTGATATTTTCACTAGTGAAAGCTATTTTACGACATAATTTGCTTTCATATACAATTATATGATAAACAGAATATTACATGGTCGCTTGGAGATAAGAATTTTATCTTCTCGTGTTGAAAATCTCTGAGATCTTTTCAACACTCAAAGATAAATTCCGTATCTTCGCGCGCCCATGTATTATCCTCTATTTCAGTAATTCTGTTTCTCCAACATAGCTGATCACATTGTCAAAATATTTCTTTGACTAAAACTCCAGTCCATGCCCACGACGTTTGCGGTACTGATCCGCGCTCTTTCCAAATTCTATAAATATCTCCATCATGTCTAACGCTGAAATGAACCCGTTCTTTCACAGATGGACATACGGGACAGCCGAGCTCTTGATTCGGTACCGCTGCAGTATTAACGCGAAAGATCACTGTGGCAATACGTCGTTACATTACACAGCTCAAGCCGGACGAGACGACATTGCTCAGCTACTTCTTGACAATCATGCAGACATCCTTGTAGCAAATAAGTGCGAACAGACTCCTCTTCATGTAGCAGCTGCGGAAGGCGCGAAACAAGTTGCGGAGCTCTTGGCTTCAAAGGGAGCGGACCTACAGGCCTTAGATAGCGAGGGACGGTCCCCATTAGAACTCGCTGAAGCAGGAGGACATTTTGAAACTGTCGAGATGATTGAACAGTTTCTTTGGACTTGAATGATACGTMCTGACATTTGTCAACAACACGGCCTCTCTGTAAAGTGACAAGCTAGATAAATGCAACATCTACCAAAGGGTATAACSCTACCACTTTATCAGAAGACTTTGCAGCACCTTTTGTGGAATAAAGATTTATKTGATGACCTTTATAAGAAAGTGAGAACTCTTTGCAATAAATTGTTCAGTGAACATAAACATTGTTCCTTGTACATCATACTTTTATTACAAAAGKAAAGCAAATATATACCGTATAAACACAGATAATAAATATTTTTTTAGATATTTCTCGATATTTCTCTGTTTTGATTAATATTGAACAAAGTTTTTCTTGAGGTTTCATTGTAAGCTTCTCCCACATTCTCTTTTTTATTCCCTTACATTCTTTGTTCTTTGAAATTTTGTCCATAATTGATAATTCCCTGTCCCTGGAGCAGYTTTTGTGCCTGGAGTGACTAGGGATGCCTGACTATGCAGAGGCTAGAGTCCGACATACTGGTAGGCCAGATATCTTCCTATCCCTGGAGTCGCTATCAACTCTATATAGATATGCCTGGCCAAGTAGGACAAATGTTTCCATGCCTCTTGAGTGGCTAGACGTACCTGGCTATGCAGGCTAGTGGTCCACATACATATGGATTTGATGTCTCCATTCCTGTGGAGGTATGCTTGTATACGCAGGTAATGCTGCACATACTAGTAGGGTTTGTGTCTTTGGTGACCTGTGTTTCTTGGCTTTCTCACAAAGTCTGGATTGAATTGAGAATTATACCTAAAAAAAAAATAATTCTTTACTCTAATTATTGTAATAATGTGATAATAATCCTCTTTGACTAATTAACAATTAGACCTCGAGGTCGAGTTAACTACGAGCTAATAGCCCATGGGGCCGAGTCCGGGAGGCTGAATGGGCTATTAGCTCGTAGTCCATGAGGCCGAGAGGTCTAATTGTTTTAGTATAAACATACTAATCAGTCAAATAATGAAAAAAATTGAAATATCCTTAAAATAATTTATAATTTATATATTTTGATTTTCCCGCGAGTGGTCTATCACAAATTAGACCATTAGTAGAGTAGCAAATCACAGCGCAGTATGAGTGATAGACCATTATATGTTTATACTAATGGCTGATAGTAATTGTTTAAGTTATAGCAAAAGTTGAACCTGTAAGGGTTGTCTTCTGTCTCRGGTATTTTTTCTCCTCTGGACGATGACACAAGGGCCTTTTCTCTTGTTCTTTCAGACTGTTCTCKTTTTAGCCTTTCTGCTCTTAGCTCTTCAATACTCTTCTTCTTGGATGTTTTCTCCTTGTGTTTTCTCTACCATTAATGTAATCATTAATAAATTATCAATGTGATACTATATCTACAATATTCAGTGAAAAGATAAGCAATAGATAAATAAAAAATATTTACAGAATATTAAGAGCTACTACATACTTTCTTTTTCTTGTGTTCTTTCTTGTGTTTCTTGTCCTTTTGCTTTTCAAAATCCTCTTTTGCTGTTAAATATTTCTTCATGGTTGTCAAGGGGTCAAGAGCTTCTTTTCTCTTGGAGTCACGGGCATCTCTAGAAAACCAATAACTGTTTTTAATAATTACATGACGTACTATTAGCAGGGTCCGTGCAGGTCCTTAAATCCTTGAAAAGTGTTTGAACTGAAAACTCGTTTTCAAGGGCACTTGAAACTCCTTGAAAATTTGAAAATTTAGAAAAAGTCCTTGAAAACTCCTTGAAAAAGATGGATCTCTATCGCAAAGCGCTAGCGATCTCTGAATTATTCCGTTCAGCTGAAGTTTTGAGGTAAGAATGTACAATTAGCATGATTTTGATGCTCCTTGAAAATACAATTTTGGTCCTGGAAAAAGTCCTTGAAAAGTCCTTAAATTTCGTTTCTGATAGTCTGCACGGACCCTGTATTAGAGGCATCTCACCACCTTTTCTCAGTTAGTATAGGTGTGGGCTAGCTGTTTTATGATATGATCAGAGAAGGGTTGGGATTATTCTTGGCGAGGCCCCTGGGAATACCACAGTGTTTCTTACTTCTTACCTTTCCTGCTCAGTTTTTTTCTGTTCATTCTTCTTTTCATACCAAGGTTTTTCTCCTGAATTGTTTCAATAACAATTAATTCACTTCTCAAATCAAAAAAATTAGCTCAGTTACAATGTACCATGTCTATCTTATGCGCTTCGCGTTCAGTCGACATTGCTATGCAAAGGAAGTGCTAGCCAGCAGCACACCTATGTGTAAGTGTATGTAATATGTGTCTATAATATAGCACTTCGACTTGAGGGCGCGTCGAGCTGTGTCTTTAGCAATTMAGTACCCGTGCAAGGACGATTAGCACCCAACACCTCCCCCTAATGGTATAATAGCAATATAATACAAAAGACAAAGTTACCATGCTTTTCACTAGCACTTTGTCCAAGGTAAGTGAGTAATCCAATGGCTTTTTCCTGCTTTTCCTGCTCTGCTTTCTTCTCAGCTTCATACTCRGCATTGGACCCTTGCCGTAGCTGAAAAAAATGCAAAAAAATTATATGAAATTCAAAATGATGCAAAATGATCAGACCCAAACTGTGCAAATCTCTTGTTGATTGATGCCAGTCAGTCAGCGCCTTCGCTGCAGAACTACCATGATGCATCAATGGAAAATCATCATGACGATCGTCATCAACAACCATGTATCTTCAGTCAGGGCAGTAATCCATTTTTTCACCTACCCCTTCTTCTATGTCCTGAAAGAAGTTAATATGCCTTGGTGGTTCATCTGAAACTGGTACAATTTCAGAGCTTGTAGTAGCAATGCTCTCCTTGCTTGAAGATCTTGCTTTCGCCCTCAGTAATGACGTTCTTGCTTCCTGGTCCTGTGTAATAGAATTATAAGTACTTTTACACATGACGAATCATATATCAATCACTACAGTTTATATGAAGTAAGCTAACTTACAGCTAGTGCAGCTCTTTTAGCCCTCTTTTCTTCTTCGAGTCTTGCTTTTTCTTCGTCTTTCCTGACGCGCTCGATGTTATCCTTGTTTCTGACATGCCAGCTGAAAGGCGACAATTTTGGTCATTTTTTGGGCAATTTATCGATAAAAACGTACATTTTGTGAAGGATGAGTTATGAACTTACCTTTTATGTGGCAAAATGTTCATCTCTGTGAGTTTATCGTGAAATTATAGAGAAATATTAACCAAAACAAACCAAATCTGAGCGACTTCGGGTGAAATGGGCAGGTACGTCATGTGATACCTTTTTAATGCATTCTTATTCATTACAAATGCATCTCATTATATGTCATGACATTCCCTTGTATTCCTTCAACTACCACGCTTTGTTTGTACACCCATCTTTCTCTCATGCATAGCTCTGAATTAGTTTTATATGGTTCTTGTATTTCCTCATGTTTTTCTGTGTTTTCCTTTGCCTTTAGTCATTTCTAYGTTACTAGTATCTATGGTATTTCCTTGTGTAACCCTGTATCCCCTATATCCCCTATGTCTCAATGTTTCTTTTAATGTTTGATGGGATTAATAACCTATTTGTGAAAAAGAAGAGAAATTGCAAAACACATTTTTTATTATTGACAACAAGACTCATAAATAATSTATTATGTTAATGTCATATAACAATGAAAGATCAACACGTTTTTCGGTTATTAACTCCATTTTGCATATTTTTATTTCATTTTATTACAAAAACACTAAATGGCYTCAGCTAGTGGTAATGACTTTGCTTTTATACGTCGTCTAAACATTCTATTGCGACTAAAYGTTGCTCCATAGTCAGGTTTATTTGTATCTTCATCACATGCYTGGATAGCCCTTGCCAAGTCTTCATCTTTTGGTGTTATGAAATTGATAACTAAGGAAATAAAAAAATATAGGATAAGCATATTATTTATTTTTAGATATATGTATCATTTTAGAGGGATCAGGAGAGGATCTAGTTGATGTATGGACAAGAGAATGAATGAATAAATACATTAAATAATGGAAAGATGAAAGTATTGGCCTCCATTAGAGGACTGAACTGCTAAACATGCCTGCAATGGAGGCTAAGAAAGTACATGCAGTAAGTGCAAACTAATTGAATGGATGAAAAAATGAATGAATGAGCAATCCACATTGAGGATACTGACAAATCATACATTAAACCATCATATAGAAATCAAACCATTCAAATCTATGTAAATACCAAAATGTTGGATTAAACAGGTCAAAATAATCATCAGTACCTTTCCCAAAGGTTCCTGCYCGAGCTGTTCTTCCTGCTCGGTGTAGAAATATTGCAGCATTTGATGCAAAGTCTAGTTGAATTACATGGCTCACATCTGGAATATCTAGACCTCTTGARGCAATATCTGTACAAACAAGAACTTGAAGCTTTCCAGACTTAAAGCKCTCCARTGATTTAAGCCTCTTTTCAATTGGTACTCCCTTGTGTAAYTCAGCACAATGTTTCTGCCAGTRTTTTCTGCTTTCAACAGTGATCATATCATTSCTCAATTGCTGTAGTCTGTTGTTATCATTTAGCAAGTCACAATCTGGTTCCATCCATGYATTTTGGACTTYCAAGCTATTTTTRTCRGTAAGGTACTTAAAAGCTAAGGAAGCTTTCTCCGCCGTGTTAGCAAAAACTAAAATACGGAGGGCATTATTTTTCTCTTTTGATGTAATCTGTTCTCCCTTGAGTTCTTCTTCACTTGTCCTGTTTAAATCCTCCTTATCGTTTTGGCAACTAACTCCCTCTTTCTCTGTGTTATTTATCCCTAGTTTTATCAGACCTGTTAACTCATTTAAAAGTTTCAGTAGCTGCTGAAGYTTTGTTTCTTCAGTGACCTTCACATACTCYACTTTCAAATCTGGCAATTTTTGATGARCTAGTGAAGTAYTTACAAGCTGTGCTTTRGGCAGCCACTTTGTTAACACATTAAGACTGGCTTTCTTTCCTCTTGAWGGTAAAGTTGCWGCTACAAACACAAACTGTCTCYCTGTAATGACATTTGAGATGGTATGAGAGCCTTTTGAAAGTTCATGAACAGTGTTTCTCCTATTTGAGTTTCCATATTTTCTTTTTTTCTTCATTTGTCTTCCAATTTTGAAGAAATTCAACAATGTCCAAACATCCTTTCCTCCACTTGTTGTGAGAAAGTCAGCTTCATCTGTWACAATYATTCTTGTGTTGCTTAAAGTATCCAGGTTATAGTTGAGCAGAGCACTTGGCATTGCCAGGACAACAGGGTGGCTACGGGCAACTAGCAGTTTGGAGTCTCTGTTGACWATGCAAKGGAACATATCTGGGTCAGCAATTGACCTAAAAACTGATGCAACCTGGAAAATAGAATATACAAAAAAGAGTTATATTATTTACTGCCTGTGAAATGAAAAAATGCTTAAAAATGTTTTCTTTCATAACACTGGAGCCTTGGTCCAATGTGTTAGTCATGTGCTATGTTTTTTGTTCTTCTTCTTTTCCTTACTCAATTTTGCTCAGTATAATTTGCTGTGGTATGTGAGAAATAACTTTGAATAAATAAAATCACTCTCTTAATTGAGAAAAAATGTATCTATTACTGCAAGCTTGGCTTTCAAAATGGAGGGAAATATAAATCAAGTATTATAAATTATATACTGTACACTTACTTGATGGCAGAGTTCTATTGTTGGAAGAAGAATGATAGCATATGGTGGCTTGGTTAGGAGAGATGGTTTACTGATCAGCTCATTTACTATTGGAAGCAAATAGCCTGGAAAGTAAAAATCACTAATGTGTATAATTATATAACAAAATAATATTTAAAATAATATTTCTGTGATGTTTAAAGTGAATTTTTTTGTATTTATTGCACTGATTGATACTTTGATGTGTTTAAGGAGAATGTATATTTTGATCAAAGGTTGCAGTCTTGCACTATTCTAGACATCATGTGACTGTTCTTAAATTTCAAYTACTTTGCATGTTTGCTTTCCTAGAGCTCATTTCCTTACAGCCTCTCATTACTTAAACATAAGCTTTAAGAAATGGAAGTATAAAGGTATGGTAGTTATTAATTTTGCATTTATTAGCATTTTGATAGATAGTTTGCACAAGCATTTGAATGTTTCCAAACATTTATCTGAATGTAACGAATGTTCATCATCTAATATTTTGAATTTAACATTAGCTTCGTAAAATTTAATTGCAAAAAATGTTATAACATGCAACAGTTTTAGTTTTCCACCATGTCATAAGAATTTTTGTACAAAAAAATGTACTATCGTGCAGCAGGGCTGACTTTCAAAATATGGACGACATTCATTGTCAGTGAACTTTCACTTTCACTTTATATTTTTGTAAAATGCGAACTCTAGATAATTCTACATGATTTATGTGCAAAATCCTATGTGGATATTATGAACATTCGAAAAAATGTGCAACCCATGTGTTTGTTTTGATACGAGTGAGCTGATAACGTGTGCTGTCAGACAATTAAACTTACAAGATGATGAAATATTTGGAAAACTTACACAAAGTTTTTCCGCTTCCGGTTTCTGCATTGATGATTGCATTTGTTCGCTGYACGACTGCAGGTATCGCCTGAAAAACAAATAAAACAAGAGTCACCTCATCAAAGTCCTTCTAAATCACTTTCCAATAGGTAACTTGACAATTAAAAATAAAATTAGGAAGTTGAATGGATAGACCAACTTTTTACTTACATTTTCTTGGATTCCAGTCGGGCGATTGATTCCCAACTTGGTCAGTCTGTTAACAAGGRCCTCATTGATTCCCAAAGCTTGGAAAGAACTCGATCGAAATAGCGTGAGTAGACGATTTTTAACACAAAATTTTGAAGGTTGTTTCATATAGGCAGCCGCCATTTTGGATTCACTAAACTTAAAAACCGCTGCATCAGCATTGCTGGCTCAAATAGAATGTTTGATCAAAGATATTTTCGGTTGTTTTATTTGGAACTTTATCAATTAGATAAGTGTCAATTCTCATTTTTTTACCTTCCTCGATTACGTTTATGGGAGGATTCTATGATATGAAATTGAACTGACTGTTACCAAAATTGACAAAGCGAAAGCATTTTACAATCCGGTCTTCCTGTGTTATGACGTATTCGTCCAGGGTTTTTGACGTGGTAGCAATTTTTTGGATGCCCAGAAAGTTGTACCCTAAAAATACCTCTCTGCCATTGTCACTCTTCAAAGATGTAGCCAGAAGCATAGCTTAACCATTTCTCTTTGCATCACTAGAGAGTTTTTCCCCAAATCTATGATAATACGAARAGAAATATGGTGCCAAGATGGACACATTCGAAGTTCGAGCTTCCACRTATTCCTCCAAGGCTTACAGAGTTTGACGGTAAGCTTAGTTTTTCAATCAAAATTGCTTCTTCGTTGATTCGCTTTTGTATAAGCAAAGGATTTTGCATTAACAAGTGTTTCAAACTGAAGAATTTCACTCGTGAAATCTGAAGTGTTTTTAAACATGTATTGACTTAACTCAATTAGAAAATTAATGCATGAATTGTTTTGCGAAACAACAACAGAAAGATCACTGCTTTTTGTTCGTATCTCATTGGTTACGTTTAAGCCTTATTCTAATCCAGAATAATTTGATCTTAGTTGTTTTGCAATATCTGCTTCAGCAAGTATGAGGAAGGAAGTTCAGGTTTTTCATGAGAATTTACAAGTTGAAAGAAAAAATTGAGAGGAAATGACGTTTCATATTAATATAACTTAAACTTAATTCGATACCAAGATTCTAAAACTTTGCAAACCATGTAATAATTGCGTGTGTTATTCGAATGAGTTCCTTCGTCCTTTAACAATCTGAATTRTAAACTTTGTCTTGACATGAAACATTGGCTGGTGGCATGATATAGCATAAATGTCAGAAGGGGGGATGGGGTGGGGKRAAGAACCATAATTTTAAAACTGTTGTGTACCAAAGTGATCCTTCCTCTGTATGGTATTAAAGTCTTTGTAGTTGGCATTGGAWGTTCACAATCTATGTTGCRTAGTCAAACWAGCCCAAGACTTTTGACAGTAATGCAGTCTGGCAATGCTTGCATTTGAACCTTTTGCATGGGTGGGGGTGAGGGGGCTGAGGACTTATTCAAAGGATCAAATTTTACTTTTTTTACAAAACACTCCATGTGAAAGTTTATTTTGATCATAACAGACAAAGACCATACTCCTACAGTTAAGAGAAATGATAACAGTGTTTTGGCTCTTGAGGGAAGAGTTCCCAATTATCTCTTGCTGGTGTCATTACTGGAAAAGCAATGCTCATTGTATGAAACCAATTTAGAGAAGAGAAGACAGATATTTAATGGTAAGTTTTGTTTGATTATAAACATGATCTTTAACGTTATCTTTCTTGTTTTTAAATTTTTGCTTTGTTTTCTATGTTTCGTTATAGTTGTATGTGAACAGCTTTCCAAAATGAAGGTAAGAATTTGAATTTATTCCTCAGTAAACAAATTAAATGCTGYAACCAACTTGTGTTATTTAACATGCTTATAACAATCCATTTAGGATAGGCTAGTACATGTACATTATAAGCTTTCRTACACGTTTTCTAAGGAAACTTTCTTTGCGTTTACAGGTCATGCCTGCATTTTCATTCATGGAGGAGTTTTCTGTCATTAGGTCCAAGTATATAATGGCTTTCAATGATCTGATGCAAGCTGCTGCAAAGTCTGTCAATGGAATGGTAATTGAGAATATAATCACAGTTGTTAAACATTCTCATATTTTATATAAGTAAGAAGGGTTATGCGATGAAAGGTGGCAGTGTCAGAAGAGCATTAAACAAAGCAATTCTCAAGTGTTCTATGCTAAACAAGTTTTTTTATTCTTTATAAAATCATAGTTCATGATTCGACAATAACATTAGATACATATATTAAACAAAAGACTGAATCGATTTATAGGGTTCTCTGGTTTGTCCACCAAAACTAAGAAAAAACAGTTTCCAATGCCCTTCATGGTATGTACTATATGCATCTAAAACAGGTTTTTAAAACCAGTTTAATCCAGTTTGTGATTATTTTAGTTAGATGAGTTAAAACAATATACTGATTATTCCACCATGTAATTATTGAATTGCAGGTCATTAGGCCCGGAATGGCAGAGTCGACAGTCTAGATATGAGGAAGAATTTGAAGAAATTGGTCGTCTTGGTAAAGGAGGCTTCGGCAGTGTAGTGAAGGTATTTAACTCTTTGTTTCCTTTGTTCAGTGCACAGTAATCTCATACAAAGAATAATAATGAAATATTCTTGAAAATAGGTTAAAAACAAACTGGACGGAAGAGATTATGCTATCAAGAAAGTCCCTCTGAAAGAAGCTGACCCAGATCTTTGGTCAAAGGTAGTCTGGTCAGATTTTTTTTTCTGTCTGATGGGATGGTTTTACTAAACTACATGTTTAATGAATACTCCTTGCTTGGTACTATCGTCGTGTACCATGTAACCAAGTACATCATAGGTTTCAGAAAACACGAGGGACTTATTTTGAGGATTTTAGTTCTCCTCAATTAAAAAAAAATTGATCCAGAACGTAAGATTCGAACCTGCAAACCCTAAATAAGACCTATCAAATCATTTTAATGGTTAAAACCCTAAACCTAACCAGTCACGCCACGAGTGAATTCACTTGGTTGCACTTCTTTTTTTCTAGTGTTTAAGCAATTTATCATTAATATTTCACTAAATAATTAATATATAAGAATGAAGTGTATACGAATAATCGTCGGGATTAATTTGCATACGACAAATTAACATTACAATAAACTCCCTTGAGGTTTACCATACATGACGATACTACCCCTTGCTTATAAATTCTTATAATTTGTAGATATTGAGAGAAGTGAAAGTGTTAGCAAGGCTTAACCATGTCAATGTTGTTGGGTATCATTCTGCTTGGTTGGAGTGTGTGACCATGGCAAACTCAAAGGCAACCATTCCAAGTATGTGTTAATGTTATTGTCATAT